TGATACCCCGGATACCCCCGTGAGTGATGCCCCCGTGAGTGACACCCCCGGATACCCCCGTGAGTGACACCCCCGGATACCCCCGTGAGTGATGCCCCCGTGAGTGACAGCCCCGGATAACCCGAGCTGGGAGTGCTCGAGACAGACCCGGCGGGATCGGGATAAAGGGGAGAGAGAAGAGAGTTGCGCTCGGCCGGTGTAAGGGAAGGGAGCGCCGAGCATCAGCTTCGGCCACATCGCACATAAAGGCACTTTGTTGTCTGCGCCCATCCCTGCACCGAGCAGGGTTTGAGACTCAATTTCATCCTTCTGGGGTAGTAGCGAGTTGTTGCGGGTTTTTGAATCAGCTGGGGTTTTTTGTTCCTTTAGTGCTGTTGCGTGATGTGACTGCCTAGCTGTGGGAAAATAAAATGATTTGCGTGGAAATTGGCACACAGTGTGTCTGCTGACAGAGATTGTGCTCGCCTCTGTATCCTCCGTATGCTACATCACCCTAATTGCTATTTTGTATTTAAAACCCAATTTTTAAGTAAGGAAACGGGCAGGCCAAGTTCATCTCACGGTTCCAGCCAGCGTTTGGGTTATTTTCATGGTAACGCAGGCAGTGTGACTATTTCAAGTTGCTCTTCCATTCGGCTGTGTGTGGTCAGCAATGCAGAATGAGCTCTTGGACGAGCTTTGTCTTTGTAAATAATTTTTTTGTAAAAGAATTCCTTTTTTAGACGGATGTTTCATGGTTAATCACCTGCCAGGCTGTTCCGGAGGAATCTGTTGGAGGTGTGCCTCTTCCAGGTGTGCCACTTGCAGGTGTCACAGCCCTGCTTGTGACCGGGGTAGGCGGTGGCACAGGAAAGGATTGCACCTGAAAAACCGTGGCTTAAAAAAAAACCCCTCTTGGTTCAGGCTTGGCGTTAGAGCAAACTTGGTAAAAAGATGTTTTCCTCTTTGTAGCGCTTGGAAAAATCAAGCGAATGGGAAACACGGAGCTGTGCTGTTTCGAAACAGTAAAATAAAGTAATAGCTGAAACTGTAAGAAGTTTGTTTGGTTTTTAATACTGGATTTTCTTTCTAAAAAGAAGGACTGGTTCAGAGTTCTGACTTCAGAGAAAAGCTGCATTTGAGAAGACAACAACAGCTGAAATTCACCGGGAAAGATTATTTTTAAGCAGGCTGATTGGCGAGGGTAGGAAAGCATTGAGCAATTGTTGGACTAATACTGGGCTGCCCTTTAAAGCACATGGCTTTCTTCATCTCTTCAATTTCTGCGTTATTCACATATTTTCATTAATTTAGAGAAAGTCGTCACTGAATAATAAATCCATCATTGGGTAATAAATCCAGTGTTTACAAGGTATTTAATTGAGACGAAATGCACCAGCTCAGCTTTCAAATAAGCCAGCAGTAATCTAGTAAAATTTGTCTAAAAGTCTGAAAAATAATAAGGCTATTTTTAATAATTAATCCTAGAAATCCTGTCTGTCACTAACTTGAGGGCAAACAGTTTTTTCCAGGGTTTTCCTGTGCTGTGATGCACAGTCTGAGCCGTGTCTGCTCATTTATCGCCACATCCAAGTTTGTAGTGCAGACGAGGTAGCGAACGTATATGTTGATTGTCTGGTGATTTTTATCTGATTTTTGAATAGAGAAAATCCTTCCCTTTAAAAAAAAAAAAATAAACAAACCCACAGCCCGCTTTCCAAACAGTGTTTTCAATTACTGTTCCTGAAGCCAGCAAGAAAACAGTTTCTAGGGAAGAATGAAAATCTTTCTCAAGTGTTGTGTTTTAACCCCCTTTGCAGTGTTCTGCTCCTGAGCACGTTTTCCCTGTGTTTTCCAAGCTGTTTGTGCTGTTTCTCAGCAGCTCTGGGCTCCAGTTTGGAATCGAGTGTTTTTTGCGGGTGCAGAGGTGGGAGAAGTTTGAGCTGAGCTGCCCGTGTGTGTTTTGTGTGTGCCCAAACACAGCAGCACACAGCTGCCAGAAAACTCAGTCCTTCTGGGCTCGGGCTCTTTGAAAAATGAACATTTTCAGTGTTCCTCCCCTGCCTGGCTGGAATTTCTTAAAGGGGGGCAGATCAGTGATTTTGTGGGAAACTGAAATAAAGCTTTTTATATGGTGGAGAGCTGAGCTGGCACCCTGGCATGGAAACAGCAGGAACAGGCAAGCCACTAACACAATATTGAGGGGAAAAACCTCCGTGGATAGAGGTGGCTTGATGAAAAAGAAAAGGTTTATTAGTTTACACAGCGAGGTGTCAGAAATCAGTGATTCTGAGGAAGCTGACGTGGAAATACGCGCTGATCCTAAATACTGACACGCTCTTTATCTTTCAAATTGCAACAGCAATTTAGAAAATTACTGACCTAAGTTATCAACGCTGCTTTGAAGGTGGTAAAAATCGAATGTTCGCACAGCAGGGATCCCAAAAATACCTGAAAAATTAATTAAGAAATCTGCAGTTGTGGAAATTCCCGAGACTGGGCTGGCTGGTTGGAAATCACGACTCTTCTCCATTGCAAAATCAATGTCGGAATGTATTGGATAATGGCAGTACAAAGATACAGTGTCTGTGCGGCTAATGTTGGAGAAAAAGGCCATTTCTTTATGAAATAGAGCCTTTCCAAAGAAATCTCTGCACTGCAGGGCGGCGAAGCACAGCCTAACAGCACCACCTGATGGACAGGGGCTCTGCCATGCCTGGGTTTGTCTCCTGGTTTGTTTCCCTGAAATTCACACACACACCTCTCTGCCTGTGCATAAATACAGCGCCGTGCCTTCGGAAATCTATCACTGCTACAAAATGTAACTGCTTTTTTTTTTTTTTTTTTTTTTTTTTTTTTTTTTTTTTTTTTTTTTTTTTTTTTTTTTTATTGGTCTTTCAGGCATCTGATGCCAGCTCTGAGAAACTGTTCAACGCTGTCACAAATAAAGGTAAGGCTGCAATTCACATCCCAAACAGATTTATTTTCCTTTTTTTTCCCCACACGTTTCTTTTCATGCCAATTTCAATGGGAGATGAAATGTGACTTGTCTTGCAGAAATGTCGCAATCAGCTTGTTAGTGCTTTTTATGTTTCTCTGGGTTTCAGACGTGTTCTGTATGCTTGGTAATTGCTTTGCTTAATATAAAATATAGGCTTTAAATAATGCATTGCCTGCCAGGTCAGAATTAATTTAAATAACAATATTAAGGAATAGTTTATTTTACAAATGGCTTTAATTTAAGCTCATTTAAATAACTGTAAGAGTTTTCAAAATGTTTTAACTTGATTGTTACTCATCAGCTCCGTGATAGACGTGGAATTATGAATAGCCAATTTGCACTGCTGACAGTAATAACCAGCCAACGTTTAGTATTCACAGGATAATAGTCATAAACCATGGCTTACTGTGCTGTGTGCTTTCTGTGGAGTTAATAAATGATAGAGAGGGCCACATTTAAATATTCAGTATCCCATTAATTTCTTCCAAACAGCAATCCAAAGACAGAGTGGCTAATGATCTAACAGTACATGAAGGGAAAGGCTCGCTCAGCGCCCGTGAGCTGCCGTGCTGGGCCTGCAGAGCCCTGAAAGGCTTTGGGGGAATCCTTTGGGTGGAATCCTCTTTTTTGATCTGCTTGCTGTTTCTGCAAGGAGGGCGTAGGGAGCAGCCCCAGGCATGGGTTTCACAAACAAGTGTAATTCAAAGCCTTGAAATTATTTTTTTTCTGGTTTTTACCCCAGTGTCCTGCGCGTGGGAAGCGCCTGGGAAGGGGTGAGCTCCTACCTGCAAAGCTGGGGTTTTGTCCCATGGGGTTTGGAGCACTCGAGTCACTCTGAGCTGGAAGAGGCAGATTGGACTGGTTTGAAACTGGGCTGTGTTTTGTTTGCCGGGTGTGGATTCGCTCAGTGTTTGCCCTGTGTGCTTCTCCCTGGTTTGGTTCCTCACTCCAGCGAGTCACTGCAGTGCTTCTCTGTGCTTTTCAGTTCCACCGAGCTGTGGTGGTTTAACTGGGGACAGACTGTGACCCCGTTACCTTCGGAATTCCCATGCTGCTGCTTCTGAAGGCTTCTGCTGCATATTGAATTATACCTGGATTTAATTGCATTACGGATCCATAGTCCTGTGTTTCATGTATTAGCATCCTCTGGAAGTACAGTCTGGATTATTTCTGTGGTCTAACCAGGTTATCTCACTTGGCAAGCCGATTTATCCTTTGTGATTAATGGCACTTACAGGTTCCCCAGGCCCTTCTGGAGACTGAGAGTAGGTGGCACAGCCATTAGAAGGGAAGAGCTTCGTGTCTGGAGTGACCCCAGGCCCCCAAACTACATGTGACTGCATCTTTATTTTGCTAATTTGCTGTAAAAGGCTTTGGCGTTTGAGCAGCCCTTTCTTGGGGCTGGGCAGGAGCAGCCCCACATTCCTGCTGCAGGCCTGTAACCAGGGTGAGGTGACTGATGAAGAGTAGGCCCCTCTTCCTCTTCTTTGCTTTTCTTTTTTGACTCAAACACATTTCCCACATTCTTATTGCTGTTTACTTACGGGGCTTGATTCGTGGCATCCCTTTGGATGTGAATACCCATGCTTGACAGGGAGCCTTTTCTTCCGAGGTACTTTTCTTTGGTGATTTAGTTCCCTTGAAAGGATTAGGGTTTCTTTGTGTAGCCTAAAATCAACATGGGCTTTTCGAAGCTTTGCTTGGGAAACCATACACAAATAAGCTTTTTAGTTGATGGTAGATTATTCCTTTGCCCCTTATTTCCATCAAAATGGCATCTTTCTTTTCTCCTCCTGAGTTTCCCCTTAAAGCCATATGCTAATTCCTGTTGGTAACATGAATGACAAGGGAGGAATCAATGCAAATCCAGGTGCGGCCAAACTAGGCTGGCTGGTATTTTCTTTTTTTTTTTTTCTTTTCCCTTACCCTCTTTTTTTATTTTTTTTTCCACTGGGAGAAAGAGATTAAGGGGAAAGAGAACGGAAAAAGCATTGGGGACAGTTTTGTCAAAGGGATTAGCATTCAGACTACAAAATATCAGGAAAAGAAGCTGAGAAAAGCTCCCCTGTTTGGAGATAATGTCAGTAATTGCTGGCAGGCAGGTGCTGGGCTCTCTGCCGGGGCTGGGGGGCTGTTCTTGCTCTGAGTGCCTGCCCTGGGGAGCTCCAGGTGCCTGGGGGCTGTCAGTTTGATAAATTCCCACTTCAGGTTCCCTCTCAGGCTGTTGGTGTCCAAGCCAGCTCTTCCCCACTGCGTTGTCCACGGCTGCTTTTGCCAAAAGCAATAAAAGTCACTCGTAAGAAAGGTCAGATTTGCATTGGGTAAATCATGATGGAACCTTCCAAGCTGGGAGGGCTGGGCAGGCTGACAGCGTCCAGCCCTCGGAGTCCTCTTGGGTGTCCCACAGCCACCCGTGTCTCACACACTGCTTGGGTTCTTCTTGCCTTTTTTAAAATTTTTTTAGTATTATTCATAACTGAGGTAGCAGAAAATACAGAAGTAGTGTATTTTTGGAGCAGGTACAAATCCTGAAGCATTTTACATCTCTTATATACATTTTGTCCCCTTTCTGTCATTTTGTTGTGGACTTCAAGGCTTAAGATGTGCTCGGGCTCAAGGAGTGATGGATTAGTGTGGATGTGCAATGTGGAGCAGTCCCTTCCCCAGAAACACTAAGAATTTAAAAAATCCAGAGTCCAAATCCCTCCCAGCCCTCTCTGGAAGAGCTGCCCCACGCCCTCTGAGAGTTCCACCTCAGCACCATTGATCCCAGCCACAGTACAGGGTTTCTGCACGAATTTTTGTAACGTGACTTCTCACCACAATTAAATCCCATTATCTCTCAATAATTTAAATGCACACATCTGAAGCTGCAGAGCAGGCAGCTCCTACTACGACTGTGTGGTTCATTTATGTTAACTCCCTCCTACATACCCCTGGAAAACAGCTTTTCCTGAAGGGAGAAATGAGTCCCAAAGTGGTGAAGTTTTCATTTGTGCTGTATATTGAAGTTTGCCTTTGATCAGAAGCACAATTGGGCTGTTAGAGCTTTTTATGTTCAAATTGTTTACAGGATGTTCATGTAAACTTTATGAATCCTTCTGCTGCGTGGCACCACCAGCTGTCAGGGAAATATTTACACTCTCAGCTGGAGGCAGATCAAGGCATGTGGGTTACGAGGCTTCAGCGGTGGCTGGAACACCAGTCAGATCAAGCCCTGGCTTCTTAGGTGGTTCTACAGCAATATCCTGCCCTAGAAAAAACAGGCATGTGGTTGTTTCTCCCCTTGGCTTCTGAGGTGAAGCATTTCTTGAGGATGCTCTACAACATCTATTTCTGTAAACAAGCAGGAGCTAAAGCTGGCAATTCCTTCCCTGCTGATCCCTTCGTAGGAGATCCTTGGCTGTGGAGAGTGAGCTCCCCACGGCATCTGGAGCTGCATGGGAGCGGATCCAGCACTGCAGGCAGCTCTGGTGACATGGTCAGTGTGCCAGGACACTGCCAGGGCACTGCCAGGGCATAGCCAGGACACTGCCAGGGCTCTGCCAGGGCACAGCCAGGGCACTGCCAGGGCACTGCCAGGGCACTGCCAGGGCACTGCCAGGGCACAGCCAGGGCACAGCCAGGGCACTGCCAGGACACTGCCAGGACACTGCCAGGGCACTGCCAGGGCACTGCCAGGGCACAGCCAGGACACAGCCAGGGCACTGCCAGGACACAGCCAGGGCTCTGCCAGGGCACAGCCAGGGCACTGCCAGGGCACTGCCAGGGCACAGCCAGGGCTCTGCCAGGGCTCTGCCAGGGCTCTGCCAGGGCACTGCCAGGGCACTGCCAGGACACTGCCAGGACACTGCCAGGACACAGCCAGGGCACTGCCAGGGCACAGCCAGGACACAGCCAGGGCTCTGCCAGGGTGACAGCGGTGTCTCCTCGCTTGCTGGCTTTGAGAGGTGTCCATGGTGGCTTTGGATCACTGTTTTGCTGGTGTTCTGTGGCCTTCAAATGCCTTTTCAGCCCATGGGGAAGTTGAGTGTGTCATTAGGGAGAGGCTGAGCACTGGGAGAAGCTGTGGGTTTGGATAGCCTGGGTTCCTGGTACCCCTGAGTTAGATGAGAACAGCTGCTGGGTCACTTCACTCCTGACTTCTGAGTGAAGCAGAGAAAAAGGCAGATAAATGTCTTGATTGTGCTTTGTTCTGCTGCACAAAAGAGCGAGGCAGCCATTCCTGTGCCAGGGAGTCTTCATCTGAGCAAGGGATTTGTTCTTAGCAATTTTGTGTTTGTGTGTTTGTGCCTCTCCTAAGCACAGAGCACCCCTCTCCAGTCCTGCTCCTTTCCATGCCCTTCTCTGCGTGCTGCTGGTTCCTTGGCTGGGCTGTGGGGTGCCAGGGCTGTTCTGTAGCTTCAGGAAAAGGTCAGTGGATAATGGCATGTGCCCAGAGGGATGTACCCAGAGTCTGAGGTAGCCTCTTCCAAAAATGTCAGATTCTTGAGTTGTTAAACTTAGAAAACGGGAGCCTGGCAAAGCATCACAGGTAACTTTCAAGTTAGTAATTCAAAACAAAAGCAGAAAGCAGCCAGCATGGTCCAAGCACCTGAAGGCATTGGCTTTTCCTGCCCAAAGCAGCAGAGGGAGAAGCTGGAGGTGTTGCTCTGGGCATCCCTGCCCCTTTGGGCTGGTATCAGGTTCCCTTTGTGGTCAGTTGGGGATCACGTGCCCCCAAGAGTTCATTTCAGGCTGTGGATTTTTGCAAAGTCAAGCTATTCCAGGCTAGGGAGCGAAATGACAATATTTGCCAACACAATTGTATCTCATATGGAGGGAATATTTGTTTTGTAGATTAGCCTATATTTGATTTTCTCAGAAAAGACATCAGTGTTGGGCTGTAAAATTGTGCTAATTGTTTCAAAAGAAGGTGGAAATATTCTTGTAGGAGTGTTTTGGTGACA